TTGCTGACAAAATTCTATATTTATTAAGACCCCCCAAACTACCCAAAACTTTTAGAACTCAAACTCAGCATAGTAGCAGGATATAGAATTAACACTCACACATCAATTATGGTCCTGTACAATAATTATAAATCAGATGATGAATCACAATGGGCTCAAAAAATTAGAATACTTGGGAAACAATTTAAGAAGTGAAAGAACTCTATAATGAAAATCACCAAACACTAGAGAAAGAAGTTGAAAAATACCTTACAAGATGGAAGATCTCCCATGTTCATGGATAGGCAGAATTAATATTGTCAAAATTGCCATACTACCAAAACACTATAGCTTTAATGTAATTCCTACTAAAATTTCAATGAAATTTTTCATAGAAATAGAAAAAACAGTCATGAAATTCACTTGGAAAAACAAGAGGCCCAGAATATCCAAAACAATCCTTGTGTGAGAAAAGTGAAGGAGGAGGCAGGCATCACAATATCCGATCTCAAATTATACTATAGGGCTACAAAAATGGCATGGTGTTGTCACCAAAACAGGCAAGAAACCAAAGAAACAAACAGACAAAACCACACAATACACTTATCTCCTAGTAGACAAAGGCATCAATAACATACATTGTATAACACAAAAGAGCTTCTTCAACAAATGGTACTGAGAAAACTGGAAATATATATATGGCAGAATCAAATTGATCCCTTAACTCTTACCATGCACAAAACTCAACTTATCAAAATACACTCTACTGGTTACATAGACCTAAATATGTACAAATAAAAACTGGTGCTGAAAAAAAAAATAAAAATAAGAACAGAGGAGATTAAAAAAAAGCTCCCACCTAACATATACCCATTTAGGAATGGACAGAGATGACTAAAATTCAGTGGTCTGGACACTCACCCTAAAGCAAGACTAGAAATAAATGAAGCAACTCTTACAAAATTATGCAGGTCCTCAGCCTAGGTCTCTCCCATATCCTTGCAGACAGCACATTATTGACAAGTTTGGAGGAACCACCACAGATTCTCTACTGCCTATATCACTAGTCCACCAACATGACTCCACTCTCAACACTGATGCAGAAAGCTGTTACCTCAGAACTGACAGTGCAAACTGACAACAGCTCACGAATCACAGATAAGACACAGGAAACTGCAATACAGATGCCATTTGGAAATGAATTCAACTTTATGCAATAAAACAATACCACAGGACACATCATCCAGAGAAGGCTACTTCGTAAGTAAACCCTTACATAAAGGTGTAAGAGACATATCCCTGAAGATGTACAAATTTCAATCTAGAAATGTAAGAAGATAAAAATCAAGGTAGTATGATTCTTTCACAGTTTATAACTCTAGGAACTTTTTGCAAAGATATTACAATAGAGAAGATTCCAGAAAAAAAATTCTAAAGAATGTTAAAATAATGAATGAATTCAAAGATGAAACAAAGAAAAACTGAGTAAATTAAGGAAAACAATGCAGGACATGAGAGAACAATTCAATACAGATTCTGAAAAAGATTCATTTAGAAATCTTGAAAATAAAGAGCTCCATACCTCAAATAAAAATATCTAATTGAAGTCAAACCCATAGAGTACATCAAGTGAAAGAAAAAAATATCAGAGCTTGATGTTGATAAAATATCACATTCAGACAATACTAACAACAATCAGAAGAATTGTAAACAACTTACAGACCCACTGAATACAATTCATAGACAGTACTCTTATGAATCACTGGTACACACAATGGAGGAGAGGTACAGGCTATAGGAAATACAAGCTTTCTCCGTGAATAAAAGAAATTATTTCTTAAATCTGGTGACAGTTATGAACATCCAGGCATAATAAGGTTTTAGAATCCCAAATGGACATGACCAGAAAAGAACCTCTCCACATTAGTCTATAAAATTACCAAAGGTAAACTGAAATCTACAGAAAGGGCCAAAGAAATTATAAACACATCAGAAAAAAATATTAGATTTCTGAGTAGAACCTTTAAGATTCAGGATAGCATGAAATGGTATATTTCAAACACTGAAAAAAAAATTTTTAAAAAGTAAACAAGGACAAAAACTGTAACGTGAATGGAAAGGATGGTTATCATGTTAAGGTAAAAAAAAAAAATCAAACAAAAATCCAAATATCACATGCTCTAACATGTGGAATCTGGGAAGAAAATATGAATGACTAGAAAATGGAAGAGAGATTAAGGAAGAGGGAAGGTAACTGGGGAGGGGGAAAATGGAAGTAAGGAGAGTGGTCAGGATTCAATTATCATGTGTGTGTATAGAAATATCACTGTGAAATCCACTAACTTGTGCCCACAATAGGAGTTGATATTAATAGTTGATAAGAACACCTGTTTTTATAACAAGTCCAATTTGCTATAATGTCACCATATAGGAAACACAACACACTAATTTAAAAATATTTTTCTTATTTATGCAAAGCCATAAAATTTCACGGTTCAAAATTAATGTAAAATTTCTTTAGATAATATCATTTAGATGATAATTTTTCTACAATTAATTGCTAAATAATTCTGGATTCTAGATGATCAAGAAGGAAATTAAGAAAAATATTAATGGAATTTGAAGATTTATTTTTTTCCATTGTTCTTTTGTGATCAAAACTTCCTTACTCTCTTTTTTTTTAATACAGGGCATAAACACCAAGAGTAACTCACTTTTGTAAGTCTTACCTGAACTGAAAATTGCTGATGTTCTAGATTCTGCTTTCATATATTGAAGAATTAAATTCCTGTTGCTATATTTGAAAAAAGTAATAAAATTGGTATTTTAATAATCATATGAAAACACTGACCAAATATAATTGAATACTTTGTATAGAGTTTTAGATCTAGTATCAAAACTTTTTCATATGCTCTCCAAATTTGTAAGCCTTATAGACATTTTATTAACTTGAAAATTATTTGTGGGGCTGGGGATGCGGCTCAAGCTGTAGCGTGCTCGCCTGGCATGTGCGGGGTGCTGGGTTCTATCCTCAGCACCACATAAAAATAAAAAATAAAGATATTGTGTCCACCTAAAACTAAAAAATAAATAAAAAAAGAAAATTATTTGTACAATGTTTGTTCTGATGCCCAGGCTGATCCTAAACTCCTGGGCTGAAGCAATTGTCCTGCCTTAGGCTCCCAAGTAGCTGGGGTGAATGCACGTGCCACTGAATCCATACTTTTTAAAGAAAAAATTAAGGTAAAATGCTCATTGAGAGCAAGACAGGTAAATATATTAACTAGTGTAGACTGAACTCAGAAAATGCCCTCTGTAAACAATAGCTCCTTGTTCTTGTAAAGTCCTTTCTCTTAGGCTTAAGAATTTCTAAAAAATAAGGGTTCTATGACTTTAGTTCACCAGGTTGTAATAAAGATTTACTAAGAATATTGAAAGAAATAGTAAAATAATGACATATTTAACTATTTAGAATCTCAAAACTATTGTATATTTTTACAGGTTCTAATATTCAAATGTTAAAATTATTTTTAAAAATCCTTGAGTCTTAATTTTCATTATCATTGGTACTCTTTGTGCTTTGTAACTCAGAGCAAATCAGCGATTAAGTGATTTACAATTTTATTTACAAATATCTCCTTAGAGACTATAATCATCCCCTTTTCTGAGACTCATCAATAACAAAGGCAAGAAATTAACAAATGCCAAGAACTGGCTTGGACTACTATTTCTTCTCTACCTAGTTGAACCAAATCGGCAGACCTTTGTAAGAGTAGCTACATCCCCACGTTGATCTCCAACTGCCTTGGAAGACAAAAATCCTCTTCAAAACAATGGATACTGAGGAGTCATCAAGGGGCTTAGCTCTCTTGAGATTCAATGAATCTGCTTAATCTCTTCGTTTGGGGAAGAACTTAATATATGCTGAAAACTTTAGATAGTGATTCCAACAGCTTAGGAAATTTTCATTATTCAGGAAAACCAACCACTAGAGGTACCAATAAAAATTGGCATCCGCCTTAGGAAACAGTGCTATGGGGCCCCTTGCAGTCAAAGGAAATGTATTTCAAGGGATGGAAGGTTTCCAGGTACATATCTGTTAACCAAGATGGTAGAAAACTCTGATCTCTTTCAGTGACTTTACTTGAAGAAGTTCTCTGATAGCTTTTAATGATTTCAATTTTCTGACAGAAAAGACAAAGTCCTCAAAGGATAATGCACCAGAAAAAGAAAAGTTAATATGGGGGTTCTACATAAGGTTCCTAAAAGGGGGACAGGGTCAGAGCATTTATTGTGTGTTGGCCAAAGCTAGAGGCCAAGCTGTCAAAGCAGAGTGCTGCTGCTTGGGAACAATGGTTAAATAAAAAAGCACCAGTGCATGAGAACTAAAAAGAGTGTTGTAACTTTTGAGTCTAAGTGTGTGTTATCATGAAGACTCAGGGATTGGATCAGTGAGGACATGTAGTAAAGCTACTCTCTACCAGACTGCAAGGTCAGTTCTAGCAGAAGTCCTAATGTATTGGCTAGTGGTGTACCTTGGTGCTAGAACAATTTCCTTGCATGTATGAGAAGAGGAGGAAAAGGGAGGAGAGAGATAACAAACCCTGCAGGTGACTCATGCACGCGTAATTACTTTTTTAAATTTTTCTAAATTTTAATTATGTATATATGACAGCTGAATGCATTTTGATTCCTTGTACACAGCTGTGGCACAACTTTTCCTTTCTCTGATTGTACACAATGTAGCGTCGCACCACGGGTGCAGTCATACATGTACCTAGGTAATAATGTCTACCTCATTCTACCCATCTTTCCTGCCCCCATTTCCCCTCCCTTGTCCTCCCTCCTCTTTGCTCAAACTTTCATCACTACTTTTAGGCTACACTGAGGAGCTGTCCTAACTCACTACTGTTCCTTACATAGTTACACTATGAAGTCTCACTTCATGTGTGAGATGCAACAGGTGTAACTATTGTGGATCTACATCTAATGCTGATTAGTACTGTCATGTAAACACTTACGCAGTACTGCCACTAGCAATGGCATAAGACAAGGCAATCCGTCCACACTTATCTGAAGCAGACACATTAACACCACATTGAAGAAGCAGCTCAGCTATCTGTGTTGATTTATGTTCCACAGCAAACATGAGGGCTGTTCTAAAGAGAGATAAATTCAACCTTAGGTATTTTAATAAATTTATTTAAACAGCCAATTTACTACATTTTACCAATTTGATATCTTGCTTTACATACACTAACAGACATCTTGGAAGATATCGTATCTTTATCTTTGAAAATCATTGGTGAGTCTAAGAGGAAAATGAGGACAATAACTATGATGATGTCATTCATCTGGAGTTGGCAAAGATTTCAATGAGAAAAGCTCCCTTTCCTTCCTAGGGCAATGTAATACATTGTAACTCACAGTCAGCCAAAGGTCAAGAAGTAAAAAAGCTATTTGCAGGCCATAATAACAGTAGCACTGTGGTACTAACAGTCATTGTTGCTTCAGTCATTCACTCGGGAGAAGCATTTGCCAGGCATTGAAATCAGTGCTATATGTACAATCTGGCAACCAGCTTTCAAGCATATGTTATCCTCTTTTTCATATCAGGAAACATATTTAGTCATTATCCATATTTAGGATTGCTTTCAAGGTCACACATTTTGCAACTTGGAAAGCTAGGAATGCAATCCAGTCATGTGTGAATCTAAAGCTTATTTCTTCTTTCTTTATCACCCACCTATATCTTATCTTCATTAAAGGAAATATTTTTTTCCCTTTGAAATTATTTTCTTTCCTCTGTCCATGCCAATTAAAAATAAAATCACTCAATAGCAATTAACACTCAGAAATAATCTAAAATCAATATTCTACAATGTAATTTAAAGCAAATAGTCATCCAAAGGACAAAATTACTTTCAATGTCTGTTTATGCTCAACACAGCATTTCCAAAAGAAAACTATACCAGGAGAAGACAAAATATAACAGAAAGTTTAAAAAATCCAATACTAACAAAGCAAACTGAAAGTCCATATTTTATAAAACTAAAATGAAAACTCTAGCTAACACAAGATCATGTGATCAACAAAATCAAATACTAATCATCAGCCAATAATTATCGGGGCAGGTGACTCATACCATTTACTCTTATTTGTGTTGCTCAGTTTCAATAACTGCTTTTCTCCCTAATTGTAGTTCATTGTTCATATATTTCACCTATATTCACACATATATTCCAATGATTATATCATTCCCATTAATTTAATAGATTAACTTAAGTGATTTTTACTACAAAATTAAGTTTTTTCAAAAAAAAACCAATAAAGTACTATACCTTCCCTTATCATCAACTGCGTGTATGTTTGCTTTATTGTTAATAAAAAATTCTACCATCATCTGTCTCTTTTTCTTTATGGCGAATAAAAGTGGTGTTTGGCCACTCTGAAAAACAACAAAAATAGTTTATTCTCAAAATTAATTCTTCTCAACTAAACTTAACCTTACAAAATACTGTATGAATATAAGCACATAATAATAATGTAAATTAAGAGTAGCCATTCTCTTCTCTTCCATAAGTGCTGCTCTTTCAATTTGAAATGCCTCTCCTGTGCCTAGAGTGGCCACATGAACTCCAGTCATTTCCAAAACTGCTTCAGACATTTACTGTTTCCACGGATCTTTGCCTCTGTCAAGCATTCATCATGGCATCTTGGAGTTATGTAACCCACACCCAACTCAACCAAGAGCATCTTGAGGACATGATCTATATCTTCTATCTCAGAAGCCCCATTCCTTAACACATATTAGTAAAGGATTTAAGTATTTGATTAATGAGCCAAATTTTCAACTTATTCGTAGGGTGTATCAATCAGATTCTGAAGAATGTCTACTTTTCCAGAAATACCAAGACTCATCAGAAAGATTCTTTGTTTCACTATTAGATAAAATTTACAGAACTGTGCATTGTATGTCCAGTATTACAGAAATAGCTTTATCATTGCTTAACCCCTACTTGACACTGATTTTTCATAGCAAAAATTCCCATGTGAAGAATTCAAATTGCAGGGATATAGTTCTGAGAGCTTTCCAGTGACATGGAAGTTTCCTCCATGTTATACAAGTCCTCTTGATTATCTTCTCTTTATGGAATCAGAATCCCAGACACCAATGTCAGGCATTCCTGCTCCAAAAGGGTCACAAAGATAATGGGCTCTGAATTAAAAGTTATAGATTTTGAGTAAACTATATTGCTTTTTCTTAATTGGTCCCTATGTCTTCTCTTATTATAAGATAAAAGATATTTAACTTATGTTAGAAAGCTCAATACAAAAATATATTCTTCCTAAAGAATTGGAGAAAAATTTTTGCCAGCAAATCCACTAGTAGGGGATTAATAAACATAAATACCAACTCAAAAAAGCTTAACACTGGGCTGGAGTTGTGGCTCAGTGGTAGAGCACTTGCCTAACACATGCAAGGCCCTGGGTTCAGTCCTCAGCATCACATAAAAATAAATAAAGTATAGGTATTGTGTTCAACTACAACTAAAAACTAAATATTAAAAAAAACTTAACACCAAAAAACAAACTCAGTCAATAAATGGACAAAAGAACTGAACATAAATTTCTCAAAAAAACCCACAATGTCTAAAAAATATGAAAAGCTCATCTCCATCTCTAGCAATTAGGTCAATGCAAGTCAAAACTACATTAAGACTTCATCTTCATCGTACTCCAGCCAAGATGGTAATGATCAAGAACACAAACAGTAATACATGCTGGTAAGGGTGTCGGGGGAAGGCACACTTGTACACTGCTGGTGGGACTGCAGACTAGTACAACCACTCTGGAAAACAGTTTGGAGATTCCCCCAAATCTAAGAAGGGAACCACAACATGAACCAGCTATCCCACACCTCAGTATTTTCCCAAAATCACTAAAATAAAAGTTGCCTAGTATAGTAATACAGCCACATGTGTGTTTATAGTAGCACAATTTACAATAGCTAAATCACAAAATCAACCCAGGTGCCTGTCAATAGATGAAAGAATTAAGAAATTGTGATGCACATACATACAATGGAGTTTTACTGAGCCATAAAGAATAAATTATGGCATTTGCTGGTAAATGGGTGGAAACAAAAAATATCACACTAATTGAAATAAGTTTAACTAAGAAACTCAAAGGTCAAATGTTTCATATGTGGAAGTTAAGAAAAGAAAAAGACAAGGTAAGAACAAATATCAAGACGTAGGGAAGATCGTTACTGTAAAAAAAAGGAGAGTGAGAGGCAGAGTGGGAACAGGGAAGGCAATGAAGAAGGAATTCTTTAAACATCATGTTATATGCATATATAAATATACTTCAGGGAACTACGCCTTTATGTGTAAGTAGAAAGAAGCAATCAAATATAAATAAATAGACAAGTGAAAGGAAGTCCAGGAAACAGGAGGAGAATGGAGGAGGAGAAGGAGGACAGGAGGGAAAAGAGGGGATCATGATCCAGTTCCATGCATGAATCATGCATGGAACTGGAATTCCATGCAGGTATGATTTTGTTGGTATGAACCCAACTACTATGTGTCACTATAAACTCCAATAAAAATAATATTAAAAATATATTCTGACTTGTAATGATTATCCTGGTAACATAATGCTAAGCTACTTTCCAAAATTCTTTTTAATCTGGTTCCACTTTAATTGCTACTTAAAACTTATTTATAATTTTAGGCAAAATGTAATTCATAAATTTTGTGTATCAACAAGTTTTATGCTGATCTACATGGATTATTTTTAGCATCATGAAATACTAAATCATTTTCATTTTTAAGGAACAAAGCTGAAGAGTAATACATAGGACAGCTTATAACATCCATGACTTATCTACTTCTAGCAATAATTTATCCACTTATAGCAATGAGTAACCTAATAAGGCTTACAAAAATTCCAATGAAAACATGATTTTTATGGTATAAAGAAAGAAAACTATTTAAATGCCAAATTCTAAATTCCAAAATTTGATCCCATTTCAAAGAGATTCATATTATGTAGGCCATATTTTTGTGAATCAGTAGAAAACTCCATGCAATCTTTATCAAAACATATTATAAAAGAGGAGTTGTAACCTCATTTATAGAGGCAAAGTAGGTGATCTGAGGGAATGCTGCAGTTGCCAGTAGCAAACTGAAGAACATGTGTGCCCAGCATGTGGGAGGCAAAGCCTGCACACCACACCACACAGTACTATGGCTCAAGGGGGACCACATTGGGTTCCTTCACAGAAGCTTGAAGTTCAGATTTCTGCATGAGTCTCTTGATTCTAATTCATGGAGGCAAACTAAATATACACATGAGCTACAAGAGGAGGAGGAGGAGGAATACGAGGAGAGCTTCCAACATTTGCTAATATTCTAATAGAGAAAATTCTGCTTATAATCAGTATTTTTTAACACACATTACTGTTAATTTTAAAGAAACATTTCAAATATTTTGGAAATAGTAGTGATTGATGTATACCGTGTTTTTGGCTTCAATATCTGCGTTGAATGAAAGCAGTTTTGTTGCTACTGATGTGCTCCTATAAAAGATAGCACAGTGGAGAGGAGTTTCACCCTTGTTGTTGTGAACATTTGGATTGGCACCATGTTCTAGAAGAAGAATTGCACATTCCTCTTCCTCGTACTGTAGGGCCTGTTGGTTTTAACCAAGAAATAGATTGTAAATTTGGGAAATCCAAGAAAAATATTTCACGTTTTACTCATTAGTTATAACTAAATGGCATTAATCAATTTTTCTTCTAAGCATTTCATCAAATTCATTTCCTGAAAAACCACTGGCTACATCTACCTTCATCAACGGTGTATTGCCATCACTGTCATACAGGTCAACGTTGCATTTCCTCTTTACTAGAAGAGCCACCACTGCTGGATTGCCATAGGCACAGGCATAATGTAGAGGGGTTCTATGCAAGTAAGAGGCTTTGTTAGGAATTCATAAGACACCTTTTGAAATATACAACTTTTCATGCAATTATAAACATTAGCTACTCATAATTCCTCCATTTTCTTCTGAAGAAGGTACAATATTTACTAGCTGACATTACTTATTAAATTAATGAACAATTGGCCTATGCCATTGACACTTTCTTATTTCTCGTTTCTGATCCTGCTGGCGATTGCACCCAGGGCACTCAATCACGGAGTCATATCCTAAGCACTTTTTATTATTATTATTTTTTTAAATTTTGATGCAGAGTCTCACTAAATTGCCCACCCTGGC